GTCTCTATCGCTAATTCCCAGGTGGGACAAGCATACGTTATTACGTATGGAGGGTTAGTTTGATGCTGCCCTTTAGGAGCTCAATTTTCAATAGGGAGTAGATTCTGAAGGCCTTGCTTCATTCATTTCGAAGTGTAGTCCCATGTAATCTTTTTATCGAAGATTACACCGATACATTTTACATAAACTGAACTAGCTACAACTGGACTCGTACTTTTGCCATCACTGTTTGTTCTACGCTTCCGTGCTTCCTCCCCTCCCCTTTACTTCCTTCCAAATCAGCGTACATGTGATCGACGCAGCGTCAGCCGCTAATTCTAGTGAAAAGCATTTTTATAATGTTTCTTTATACAATGAATAAGGCTACACGATGCTCGATATGCATACTTGGGGAAATGGGAAGGGGTCGTTCCCAGGAAGAGAGAATTATCATTTCAAGCAAGACATCATTGTGTGGTCATACACACCTAGAATACAACAAAAGAATATAGGGAAATTTTCTGCTTCACAGTTATTTACATGACGTCACAGCCATTGTATTTCTGAAGTTACACCTCCGATTTCACAGCAGATGAAAAGGGAATATACAGGCGGCACAAGAAGTTAACACAACTCCGCTTCACTTGTAGGCATATTCGTCTTCTTCACACATAATAACACTTTCTAACGGTGAGTGAGCTACAGGGAAGCTTGAGGAGGGTATCTATCGTTGATTATATTAGGAATTATCCTAGTATTTAATTGGAGGGACTATAAATAACAAGAATAAGCTCTGTCAGGATCACTGCCCACCCAGCTGGGAAAGTCAGAAATACGAATCCACTGAGCATTAACGATCACTGGAAATCTTTGTGTGTGGGGGGGGGCGGTTACTGCACGAAGCTGTTAGCATCGTCTTCTACATAGCGTCAAATGGTAAGACGACAGATGAATGCAAAACAAACTTCGTGGTATTAGTCGGCAAGCGAACTATACCGACGGAGCGACCGCCGCTTTTCGGCGAAGTTAGTACCAACTTTAGCGGTTAGAGGGTGTCGCGTCGTCAGCGCAACGAATCCCTATGGCCGTTAATTTCGGTTTTCTAGGCCGGAGCAGCTATTTCCTTGAAATAGCCCCTCAATTATACTCACGATGCTCAGTGGACCCCGTTCGAGACCCACTACTTCTCAGAAAACCTGGTAGCGCCGGGAATCGAACCAGGACCTCTGGATCTGTGACCACTAGACCACAGACGCGGTCCGACAGACGAATGACTTGAAAATGGTTAGAAAACAATCGATCGTGGCTTACTCGAGGTTCTGTCCCAGTATCTGTCTGAAGGGACTGAGAATAAACACGAAAACTTTCAGGCAGAATAGCTGGCGTCTCGGCTGATTCGAAACGAGCATCTCCCGAATAAGTCAGGAGCGAGTGGAAATCTTAACTATATAGGAGAAGGATACTAACGTATATTTCCTAACGCTGTTCTAGAACACGCATTATCGTAGCATCCTTTAACTCTTGTGTGATCTGTCATGTGTAGAAATGAATGAGCAAACGCCATGTCGTAGCTGAAAGGGCGAAAGAGAAAGTACGTAATCAGTTATCAGGAGAACTGACAATTCATTTCATGCAACAATTTATTTTATTATGTCCTCTGAATGACTTGGCAGTAACGAGTGAAACTGCTGGTGCTTGAATCACAGAAATGGGCTTTGAACTCTCCAGTGCGAGTGCAGGGGCACGAGCGGACGTCGGTTCTGGATCGAAGCCGTACTACACTTGCCTGCTTACATGAATATATAAACTCCGTGGTTTTAGACCGCAAGCGAACTATACCGACCGAGCGACCGCCGCTTGTCGGCGAAGTTAGTGCCAACTTTAGCGGATAGAGGGTGTCGCGTGGTCAACGCAACGAAACCCCACGGCCGTTAATTTCGGTTCTCTAGACCGGAGCCGCTTTTTCCTTGAAGTAGCTCCTCAATTATCCTCACGAGGCTGAGTGAACCCCGTTCCAAACCCACTATTTCTCAGAAAATCTGGTAGCGCCGGGAATCGAACCCGTACTTCTGGATCTGTAGCCAGGAACTCTGATCACTAGACTACAGATGGTTAATTTAAACACGTCTGAAATATTTCGAAAATTTACCACAACTACCGGGAGCCGGGATAGCGCAGTCAGTGTAACAACTGCCTACGGGCTGGATGGCCGAGGGGTTGGCGTTCGAGTCCCGGTGGCGATGAGATTTCTCTTCTCCACGTCGTCCAGACCGGTTCTGGGGCCCACCCAGCCTCCTCTATAATGGGTACCTGGGATTCCTTGTCGGGGGTAAAGCGGGAGGGACGTGGACCTGACCACTCACCTCCAACCAGTGCCGAGATCAAGAATACGTGGCTCTATACATTGACTCTCCATACGCCTTAATTAGTTAAGCATAGGGACAACTTTACCTTTTTTATGACACCCTTCCCTTTCCTGGAGCGCTTCTGCTGGGAGACAAAACCCTTCACAAGCCGTCATTCAGAGTTTAAGAGCTCCCCTCACCCATAACGGGACTAATTATAATTTAATCACTTCGATTTCTCTAGTTCGTCTAGAACGCCTATTGTTAATATCAAATCAACGAGGACATGGTGGGTTGGGGGGGGGGCGTGGGATTATGATGGAGTAGATAAGGAATGCATACAGAAATTTTGGTGGGGAAACTTCTCTCGAGCGTCACCGTGCAAGAGCGAGGAGACTCTGAATATTGAATTAATCTAAATAATTTTTAAAAATTCTATTCCTCCTCATAGAATACACGCTGTTTCTACATCACAAAGACCGACCAGCTGATATTGTTCAGAAAAATAACTTCTGTTTATTCTGAGAATAACAAGAAATTCATAAACACGCTCTGTAGGCAAAGTGCAGAATTCTTTAAAGTTAAAGCATGTAGCAGAAATAGTAACCACTGTCTTAAAGGGTTAAGATGGACCTTGGGGAAACGAGCAAAGAATTCGGGTGTATGAATAAGTAATACAAGTGCGAGCTCCACTGTATATGCTACTTATTCAAAGATTGGTGGCGCAACCCTATTCTTCAGAAAGAAAAGCAAGGAGGGAAAACTGAAATCAGAAATTCCACAAATGTATTTTGTTGCGCCAAAGAATTCCTGTACTACATCACAGATGAAACGATCTAACCACTACATGATATCATATATAAACTTCGTGCATACAGTTTGTATACGAGCCTAAACAGATTAGAAATAGGCTGCACGGTACATTATATATATACACTAAATAAACACAGCAAAGGTGTATGCATACTGCCAACCTGAAAAAGCTTTAACAGTTAAAGGAGATACCAGGGAAATACGGAAATTAAGCGGGCCGTGTAAAGATTATTTGTCAATTATCAGCCTACTTTCCTAAAGTAGGCTTATGCGATCTCCATGCTGTCTGTGCGTCTGCGAATACTCTCCCCCAATTAACTTATGAATGCCTCAACCGATCTTTATGAAACTTGGTATGCACAAGCATATCATGGCACCCGAGTCCATCTCAACGGCGTATTTCATAAATCCCTCCCATTATTCTGTGTGTCTGTATATGTCTCCTATGGTTGCTAGACAAAGGCTCGTTAAATTGTATTTCTCCTTTCATTGCTAGGCAACGGTTTGGTAAAAACGTTGCCGCGGCAACGAATACACACAATAGAAGAACTGTTGGACGCGCGTGTCTGTGGGTCTGTCTGTGTATCTCCATATCGTTGCTAGGTGACAACTCGGTAAAGATCTTCCCGCAGCAAAGGAGGATTGCGGGAGGCGTCGTTTTTTATGCGGTCCACGTCGTATCAAAGGAAAGGGGGCGAACAGTTTTTCCCAGAATTTCTTGCTATCTTTCGGTGTATATTCAGCTAGGAGTTATCATTTCTCACGTTGTTGTTTTGTCCGCCCTCCGATGTCCACGTTTTTTTTTTTTTTAAATAATTACTTTGAATAGAGTCCTTCCTGAGAAATTAATAGTCGCTCAGCTAGTCAAGAAATTTCCCAGTGCTTAAGAAACCGAAAATTCAGTATCTTCTTCCCAACAATCCGCCAATCAAATCCACTCTTTCACAGCTGCATTTTAGCACTGCCTTGACCAGTATTTTGTTATTATTTCCAATGTGTACTCCTGAACATTATATTATCGGTTTTTCTATATATTATACCACTTAAAGGTACAGATTCACATAGATATATATTATTTCATTAAGCACAATATCAACGGAGTACCCATTAAAGGGCTGGGTGTAACAAAAACCCTTTCCCCAACCACCTTTCATTATCAAATATACAAAACTCAATTTGTTTTAAAACTCGGAATACCTTTAACTTGTTTTGACTGGAACATAATTTTAAAACAGGAATTATTAATGCAAGTTAAGAGGTAAAGAAGAGACTTAACACAAATGGCCCTTCTTGGCATCAAATTCCTTTCATTCTTTAGCATTACGATACCAAAAGAACCGATCTCATTTTCATGCTGTTAGACTGCTTTGTCTATGTAATACTCCAATTTGTGCCTCATTAATATTTCAGAGTTCTTGCAAATGATAAATCCTTTCCGTTTGTGTTGCAGGTGGAGCATGCCTCTACGGCCAGGCTAATACTCCGTTACAGGGATGTCCGGACAATGAATAAATATATTTCGTCAACCCAACATAAGGGTAGGATGTCATCCCAGCGGACAAGATTCAACACAACGTTACGAGATCGACCACCTGAAGACACCATAGAAGCGTTCACGGAAACCCACAAACATCGAACACGGCTCCGACGAACTTGCGTAACAAAGCTGCATTGACAACAAACAAATCTATGAACTGACGTATAAAGATAAAAAACGTCTTCGAAAAATAGAAAATCTGCCTACTTCGAAAGTTACCAACTAACCACCAGTCTTCTAGTTTGTGAAATGTGATTTAATTTTCATAAATAGCAACTAGCGGAGAACTCCTGATACATGTACATCTGAATAAACCTGATGACAAATGTTATAATCGCGAGTGCTAAAAGAAAGACTTCGAGCTCGAATAAAACTGCTCAGTCTCTCATACGCTGATCGCCCATAAGATCAATGTTATCACGTATGCAATTTATACAAGAGAAACAGCCGTTTCAATCTAAACTGCAGTCTAACATTGAACTATATCAATCTGATGTATCATTAACGTCTTCAACATCTTCTGCACTTACAAGAGAACGGAAGGGATAAAAACTTGTGCCATGCACTTCTGTCTTTATCCGAAGTTCTGTTCCAGCTTCGTTTCGTCGCCAGAAATCTCCAACGAGAAGGTTATCACGACTTTGTAAATGTACTTCCAGACACTTCCGTCAATTGCCAGTGGTCTTCTCATGCCTTTCATTCCACAGACGAGTACATATGCCCAACTGACATAATGCTGGTGAGCATCATTGCCACTGCGACAGCTCTCAAAACTGCAATCGGTATCGTTGGAACAAGTCTCTGGTTAATCCCACTCCTCATTGCTGGCATAGCATATTACCGGTACGATTATCTCGATCCAGAGTCACGTCCTATAGATCGATATCCACTCTACAAGGAATATGATTTCGTTGTAATTGGTGGCGGTTCAGCTGGTGCCGTTGTTGCAAGTCGTCTCTCAGAAATCCCTCACTGGATGGTACTGTTACTTGAGGCGGGACCAGACGAAAATGAAATCAGTGACGTCCCATCTCTGTCTGCATACCTACAACTGTCAAATTTGGATTGGCAATACAAGACTGAGCCCACAGGGAGAGCGTGTTTAGCAATGAAGGGCGGACGATGCAACTGGCCACGTGGAAAGGTCCTCGGAGGATCAAGCGTTCTTAACTACATGCTATACGTCCGTGGAAATAGACATGATTATGACCACTGGGAATCGTTGGGAAACCCAGGTTGGGGTTACAAAAATGTTTTAAGATACTTCAAGAAATCGGAGGACAACCGTAATCCGTACCTTGCACCATCCAAGTACCACTCCACGGGAGGTTATCTTACAGTGCAAGAATCGCCATGGAGGACACCTCTGTCACTTGCCTTTATTCAAGCAGGACAAGAATTAGGTTATGAAAACAGGGACATAAATGGGGAATTACAAACTGGTGTTATGATAGCACAAGGGACGATACGACGCGGCACACGGTGTAGCACAGCCAAGGCATTTCTCAGACCTGCAAGACTTCGTAAAAACTTACACGTGGCAATGAAATCTCATGTGATAAGGATACTTATAAATCCGTTTACAATGAGGGCTTACGGAGTCATGTTTGTGCGGAACGGTGTCCGACAGATTGTTCTGGCACGAAGGGAAGTAATATTGTCAGCCGGAGCAATCAACTCACCACAGCTTCTAATGTTATCAGGGATAGGTCCTAAAGAACACTTATCGAAGTTTGGTATACATGCACTACAGAACTTAAAAGTCGGCGAAAACTTACAAGATCATGTAGGACTTGGTGGCATGACGTTCTTAATCAATAAACCTGTGGCAATTGTTCAAGAACGTTTCCAAACGATTCCAGTTACCGCAGAATATCTCATACATGAGCGCGGGCCAATGACTACTCTCGGTGGACTGGAAGGACTCGCGTTTATAAACACGAAATTTGCAAATATATCAGAAACATACCCAGATATACAATTTCACTTTGCACCGGCTTCTGTGAATTCGGATGCTGGGGTTCAAGTTCGCAAAATACTTGGATTAACAGATCAAGTTTACAACGCAGTGTACAGACCTATAGCAAATCGGGATTCATGGACACTTTTACCGTTGTTACTGAGACCTCGGTCCAGAGGGTGGGTACGACTGAGAAGTAGCAATCCTTTTCACTATCCAGTTATCAATGCAAATTATTTTGATGATCCGTTTGACGTCGCTACATTAGTGGAAGGTGTAAAGATAGCAGTGAAAATGAGTGAATCAAAAGCCTTCCGGCAATTCGGGTCAAGAATACATCGTGTGCCTATACCTGGATGCAGAAAGTACCCATTCGGGTCTGATGCTTACTGGGAGTGCGCTGTGAGGAGCATATCGATGACGATATATCATCCTGTCGGTACCTGCAAAATGGGGCCAGAATGGGATTCAGATGCAGTTGTGGATCCCAGATTACTGGTGTACGGTGTGAAGGGACTTCGAGTAATCGACGCGTCAATAATGCCGACCATTGTGAGCGGTAATACCAATGCCCCAACTATTATGATAGGCGAGAAAGGTGCAGATTTAATCAAAGAAGACTGGTTGAAGACAAGAAGCACTAAATTAAAGCCAGTCAGATCTTAGGATGACAAACTGTCATGTCAACGTGTACGATGCTTTCTGAAACAAATGCAGTGAAAATGAATATGAAGTCAAATATAGGTATACAGCAATACGCAGAAGTGTGTTTATGAATAAACTCTATTAAAGAAAGCTTAAATAAGTTCGCCCAGAATGCAGCTAAACACTACAAGAATAACTAACTGTATGTTACTCTGTCTTCAGTCACACATAACTGAGAGCTAGATCGACTCCTTACAGATACAAACATTATCGGGCATAAAAAGCTACATTTCGTTCATCAAACGACTACATTACGTGGCTGATTACATCAGTGACAGGAAAGTTCAGGATTATGAGCTAAATAACACATTGCATAATCTGATAAATCCAATTGCGTTAATAGGAACATGTTCTTTATGTTCACACGTGCAATACGACTATAATAGGCGAAAACAACTTAGGCACAATTCGACAATACATACTAGTCAGGAAATCTGTCAAGAAACATAATATGTCGTAATGGATAATCCTCCCTTCCCCTTACATTATAATAAAAACTCCGTGGCCTGTAGTCCGCAAGCGAACTATACCGACCGAGCGACCGCCGCTTGTCGGCCAACTTTTGTGGATATTGAGTGTCACGTGGTCAGAGCAACGGATCCCCACTTCCGTTAATCTCAGTTTTCTAGACCGGAGCCGCTATTTCCTTGAAATAGCTCCTCAATTATCCTCACGAGGCTGAGTGGACCCCGTTCCAGACCCACTACTTCACAGAAAATCTGTTAGAGCCGGGAATCGAACGCGGGACCTCTAGATCTGTAGCCAGGAACTCTGACTACTAGACCACAGAGGCGGTCAATAATGAAAACTACAGTATATAATATTGTCACGCGACAAATAACTTCACGTGGGTCTCGGAGTTAGTGAATCTTTATTGGATACTCACTCAAATACTCAACTTCCGTTCGAGGCCAGGCCCTTTATATAAGTCGCACGCGGACTCAACAGAGGACACCCCTCGCCAAGGTTCGATCTCTCGTGTTCGGCAATCCGTTGCTTCGGGAACGCTCCTTATAGAATGCACCGGTAACGTGTTTCGTCTCACCCGTTGTTACTCAACGACAATTCGTTGATACGATTTGTCGCTGCGGGAACTCCCCAGTTTCCACGTATTCGTTGCATTCGTTGCCGTGGAAGTGTCCGTTCTGATTGTAGCGGTTGTCGCGGGGATGGACGTAAGGTAACGTGTCAGAATATTATGACATATTGGGGATACAAAAGAAAAAGTAGTTTCCTATCTTTCAACGCCGTCACATGGATGTTAAACACACAGCTCCAATTACAAAATTATCATCCAAGTTATGAGCGAAGAGGACGGTAGTCATTATAATGTGTGATACTTTTATAAAATATCTTTTTGTAGTAATTATGTGTACAATGTTTAAGTTGAATGCGTGTTTTCGAATTTGTGCCATAAACTGTAATATAATAAACACAGCCAAGGAAATGAATTAAAAGCTAGTGTATGATATATAATTTCTTTCAGACCATACTCTGCACGTATTGTAAGTCCTGGTACAGGATTTGCAATATACTGTCCGCCCATATCTTATATCTTCCCAGGTGAACCCAGAATATGGTTATCACATTGGACTTAGATTGATTGCCATTGTAGATTGTGTCTGAACGCTAACGGTAGACAATCTGAACAAGTCCAATAAGTAAGATTTGAGGTCTCCAAGGCGGTGTTTCTGAAGAATGCCGTCTTTCAGGATGTGGCGCAGTGTATATATTGTATAAACCGACGTTTCGCTGGTTCCTCGCTCGCGGATTTTTTCTTCTTTCTTCTCTCCTGAAGATGGAAGCGATACGTTCCTCCGATACGTCGGTTAATACAATATCTACACGGCGCCACATCCCAGAAGACGGCTTTCTTCAAAATCGAATAAGATCTTGATATTTCTATACTACCGTGTTTACTTGCTAGTGTAGTTTTCTGTTAATAAAGGGCTATAGGTTTAAATGGATGAAAGCGCAAAGAAGTTTGGAAACCTTATGCCTGGACATAATTTGATATTACGTAATCGCTATTTCGGGGACAACCAATTTAACTAAGAGGAAGTTCAAACGATGTTTTGGTCTGGCTATATTCAGTTTTAAGTCTTTCTAAAAATAATGCTCTGGACCTGTCAGGACACCGACTATCCTCACTGAGGTGTTTCGTGCTTATCCTCGATCCCTCGAGGCGAATGCCATAATGGTACCTAAGTCACGATCGCTTCCTTCCAAATCCTTTCCAATCAATCGTTCATAAACCCCACGCTATAAAGTCTAGGTACTGATAGCCTCGCAAAATTAACCAACAAAACAAAAATGTTCACTAGATTTCTCACGGGACAATACAGGGTGTCCGGATTAAATGTATCCACAATAAAATCATTATATCTGGTTTTTCGATTGGCTTATTTTTCGTCTGAAAACGGAGGGGAAATTTTCCTCCGAAACGTCATTAACTTTCAGTGGACTGCACGGAATTACATCCCAGACGACAGGACTCGTGAATGGGCTTATTATCACGTTCGATAAAAATTACTAAGTCCTTATCTTTCCTATTTATTGCGACTTATTCTGTTGTTCACTTGACTCTACATATACAGGATGTCCGGATAAAAGGTATCAAAAATAAAATCATTATATCTCAGAAAGAATTTATTATACACATTTATGGGCTACACTATTACAAAGGGAAACTATCAAAGTTTTTTCTGCTCATATAACTTTCTCAATAAATTTAAATGTGGACTCCCTTGGTGGCACGACAAATATCCAGGCTTGAAGCATGTTTGGTGTTACGATAGCCACAGCGTCCCTTATGTGGGCTTTCAGGTGGTGAAGGTCGTTGATCTTAACCTGGCAGACAATATTCTTCACATAACCCCACAAGAAAAAATCGACTGGGGTTAAATCTGGAGACCTAGGAGGCCAAGCGATCGGTCCACCTCTGCCAATTCATATCCCAGCCATCTCTCTGTCCAGGTGATTCCTAACATGGTGACAGAAATGTGGCGGCGCATGCGCGTAAGCTGGGTATATTTTCCCTTCTGATGACATAAACTGGATGACAATTAGTTTCCGAGATATAATTTTTTCTTATTTTGGATTCCTTTCATCCGAACACCCCTACACATCAACATGCCACTGCGTTCTATCAAGAGGTTGTGCATTCGCTATTATTCAGTGGATTAGCATTAAATCCAAAATTCAGAAACATTTACTTTTCATTACGCCGTGAGTAAATGTGTAGCTCTTCCTAGAACTACTCAGGCGTAACGCTAAATAATGAAACATAAGAGAGTGACGTTTAGGTCCAGTTATGACCCCTCGTGTTGAAAATCATCTTCGAATCAGGAACCGATTGTTCTGGCTGTCCAGGTAATTGTTCGAATAGCATTTCATAATTAATCACGACACTTCCTCTCCTAATAATAATAATTTTGATCATAAATCATAGCCACTGCTTACGTAAGGTTGTCAGATAAAGTGTAAGACAACACAAAACGGACCCAGTTAAACGGTAACTTTCAAATGATCATTAGTTTTAAATAGGCCATAATAATGAATTTTCATGACTTTCAGAAAGTTACCTGTACATTTAGTTTACCTATGGGTCCAGTGTCATAGATTTACGGCACGTAAAAGATCCTCATGTCTCTAGGAGACCTATGAGCAAAATTAGGCAACAAGTTTCCCGCCCAAGTAGTTTCCAGTGCCTCTGGTAGATGGGGGAAATATCAGGTACCGAGTTCCGACCTCGTTGGCTGAACGGGGCTGATAGAACGCACCAGTACCGGCAGGGTATGGCGAAAGTAGAAATTAAAGAGGGACGCACAATGGACCAATAACTGGTCTAAGTGCATGTGGAAACCCAACCCCTCTAATAATAATAATAATAATAATAATAAAAATAATAGTTTACCTACGCAAAAAAAAAATCAAAACGGAATGAATTTCATTTGAGCTCCTTTATTTTTAGACGGATGAGACTGAGCTGGATATTATGAATATGTCCGTAATATCTCTTCCTTATACATTCCTCCTGCTACGAAGCCTACAAAGTGGCAAAACCACTTCACAGCTTAGTCTCCTTAGATAACAACTATAATTACTACTTCGGCAGTAAATAAGAATAATTATGACGATAAATGATTACTACGTTTATTATGATTTTCATCTATACTTCAAGGCCACAATAAAAAGTAGGACCGAGTAACTTATTAACATATCTACGTCATTCCGTATACGTATTTCATAGTGCGTTGAAGTCAGATTAAATAATGCATTTTGCGCATGTACAATAGCGAAGTAGATGCAGTCTCGCGGCTTTCACATTTACCATGACCGCCATTTAAAATATACACAACTAAAAATGTATTTACTCTTTCGTATGTAGCCTATATGCAATTTGGTTCATGTCTCTAAGGGCGAAACAAAGCCTGAGGGCGCCCGAGGATGAAATGATGAGACGATTACATGGACCTAAGAAGTAGCAGAAGCTTAATCATTTATAATCTGTGATCAATTAAAATTCTTAGATACTTTTAATAAACTGCCATAGCAGTGTCAACCATTTATCAATTGTGATTATGAGCATCGCTAAATGTTATAAATTTGAAACACACTGATTATTATTAAATTGACTGTAATCGTGTGAGACGGCGGTAAAAATGAAAGACTGCTGTACCCTGAAATGTGACGAAAACTTTTGCCGTACTGTACACTTTCCAAGACGCTGTGAAGATTAGGATACACAAAACGATAAATATGCCAGGTGTTTGCGGATGCGAAATATCTTGAGAGCGAGACATCATATACAAGTGTTCAGCATAGTACGTGACTTTCTTCCATTATTAAGTCCAGTATTAATCTAACTATAATATTCCTAAAACTTAGTACAAAATAAAGTTGTGCCCCTTGTATTTAATTATGAAATTATGCTTCTTGCCACGAGG